CAGATGTCCAAATCTCCACCATGCTGTCAAAATCTCAATCTGCCCCCAGTTTCTGTCACTCGCAACAAATGACTTAGTATATCACCGGGCTTCTCTTAAATATGTTTTGTTAGCCATTTGTATATGACGAAATATTTTAAACGTTAAAATTTAATGGGCTAGAAAAAGCATTTTCCAACATAAGACATCAGATATCTCCTCCTTCCTAAGGTTAATTATTCCTTCCAACTGTGCTTCATATTACCAGGTAGGTTTTGCTTCATCCATAGCACTCTTCTGTTTTCCTTCCAACTTCTGACCACACCTCCTTGATTTCCTTCACCAGGTCCTCTGCCAACACGCCAGTAGGCCTCAGCTCTCCTCACTGTAACACGCTCCCTTGGTGATCTCATCCACTCCCACAGCTCCACTTATCACTGCCACATGCTAATGGCTCCCTCACTTATATCCACTAACCTGGACTCCAATATCCAATTCCTTATGACTCATCTTTACCAGATGTCCCCTACTTATCTCAACCTCAACATACACCCAACTCATTAACTGTAGCCAGTCACCTACTTCTCTGCATACTTCTTTTGGCTTATGGACATACCATCCACCTACTTTCTTAAGAAAGAAAAACTAAGTTACCTTTGATACTTCTTCCTTAATATACACACTCAAGTCACCACATTCAGATGATTGTATCCACCAGTTAACTCAGTATGTCCCTCACTCTTCATTTCCAGTCACTACGCATCTCATCTCCTTCACCCTCCACCTTATCTTACATGTATCTACACCAGTGATTGGCAACCTGGGCTGCACATTAGAACCGCCTGGGGAACTTTTGAAAATCCTAATGCTTAGGGCACACTCCAGGACCAATTATATCTGAATGTCTGGGGATTGGAGACAGACATCAGACTATTTTTATAGGTTCCCATGTGATTCCAATATGCAACCAGACTTAAGAACCATCCAAAATTGAAGACAACAGCCCACAAACTGAAAGTGCATACCAGCCCTGGCCGGTTTGGCTCAGCGGTTAGAGCATTAGCCTGCGGTCCAGAGAGACCCGGGTTCGGTTCCCGCTAAGGGCATGTAACTCGGTTGCAGTTTGTCCCCAGCCCTGGTTGAGTCGTGCGGGTGGCAACCACTAGATGTGTCCCTTTCACGTTTCTCTCTCTCTCTTCTTCCCACTCTATCTGAACAAAAAATGGAAAAATGTCCTCGGGTGAGGATTAAAAAAAAAAATTAAAAAAAAAAAGTGCATACCAAACACCAAGAAAGAAAAATAAAAACAAATTTACAATGTCACAAGTCAAAATGAATCTGAATAACCTTGAGGATAAAAAGAAAATCATGTAGCCCTGGCCAGTTTGGTTCAGCAGTTAGAACATCAGCCTGTGGACTGGAGGGTCAAGGGTTCGATTCCCAGCCAAGGGAACATACCTGGGTTGCAGATTCCATCCCAGACACCTGTTAGGATCATGCAGGAGGTAACTAATTAATGTGTCTCTTTCATATCAGTGTTTCTCTCTCTCTCCCTTCCTCCCTCCCTCCCTTCCTTCCACTCTAAAAAATCAATGGAAAAATATCCTCAGGTGAGGATTAATGATGGGCAGGGCAGGGGAGGGCAGGACAGATCATGTAAAAGTTCCTGGAGAGAACATATAGATTGCCTACAAAGAAATTACACCAGTAGCAGACTTGTCGTCTACATTAGATGACAGAAGAAAATGAGCTAAAAGTCTTCAAAGTGATGGGAGAAAGTGATGGGAGTAGAGAGGAAAATGTGAACCTAGAATTCCATGGTGTGCTAAATTGATCTTTAAGAATGAAACAGACCTTTTAAGGCACACAAAGGTAAGATTCTACTGTTCAAAGACCATTACTGAAAGAATTACCTTGCAAAGAATATACTTTCTTTAGTGAAACCAGAGAGGTATTTAATTATGTTGACCAAGTCTGGGTTCTACCTAGAAAATGCAAGTTGTGTGAAATGCATGCACCATTCAGAGGTTACAATGACCTTAAAGATGGTAACATAGCCCAGCCAGTGTGGCTTAGTGGTTAAGCATGGCCCCCACCCCCCACTCCCCACTGCCAATGCACCAAGGGTTCACTGGTTCCATTCCTGGTCAGGGCACATGCCCGGGTTGTGGGCCCAATCCCCAGTGGGGGGCAATGCAAAAGGCGGCCAACTGATGTTCTCCCTCTCAATGTTTCTATCTCTATCTCCCTCTCTACTCCTCTCTGTCTAAAATCAATAAAGAAAAAAAAATTCTTTTTTTTAAAAGATGGTAACGTAGTTCAGTGCAAACAAATCAATTTTATAACAAAATTATTAGCAGGGCTCTGGCTAATTTTAATTTATTGTGTTTTTGTAGAATTTAGTCTCAGTTTTCAACTCCTCAATTTCTATAACTTTAAATAACAAAAGCAAGAAAGCATTGCAGTACAAATCTTTGCCTTACCCAGGTACTTGTGTTGATCTCAGGCCAACTGGAGACCCAGGCCAAACCATGGCGGAGAGGACTGAAATGAGTGTGAAGATTGTTCCTGGAGCAGTTGTGTGTGTAGAACATGAAATCAAGGGCCATGTAACTATAGGACCTAAAAAGTGATCCACCTTAAAGCATGAATCATTGCAGAGGTCAGACCCATAGTGTTTGGTGATGGTAACCTAGTAGAAGAACAGGTGCTGATCATAAATGCTCACTCTGATAATATCACTCCTGACACTGAAGATCCTGAATCCAAACCTGTGATCACTGGCACTAATAATGTGTGTGAAGTTGGCTATTATTCCCAAGCTATGAAAATGGGAGATAATAATGTTACTGAATCAAAAGCAAACATAGGAAGACATGTAATAATGACAAGTGGCTGCATCATTGGAACTTGTTGCAACCTAAATACATTTGAAGTCATCCCTGAGAATATAGTGATATATGGTATAGACTGCCTTTGTCGGGTGCAGACTGAGTGACCACAGCCCCAGACAATACAGCTGGATTTCCTGATGAAAATCTTGCCCAACTACTGCCACTTAAAGAAGACTATGAAAGAAAGCTCAGCTCTAGTTAAGAACTAAGAACAAGCTATGACATCAAGATAACATTTTGTCTTTGACCACTATCTTTTGAAAGGGCCACAGAGTTTATGCCCTCTTAGCAGGTTACAGCATAAGAGAGGTTGACTTTATTTTGTAAAGGTGAGTTAGAAAGAAAAGTGATGTATTTTCATTGTAACTCTCCTCTATAATTTATATAAAAAGTATTACTTTCCTATATCCTTGTTCTTTTTCTGATAATTTACAGATATACTTTTCTTTTGTAATATAAAATGTTGGCATCCAATTTTAGTTATACAAAAGACTATCCATGATAAGAAAGGTCATATTGTTATGTATTTATATTCTACCATATACTAAGCTAAATAAAATGTTGATAACGGGAAAAAAGAAAGCACTGCAAATATAGCAATGTTAAAAGATGTTTACTGCTTACTTTCCTTGTAAAAAAGATGTAATATATTTATATACTTGTCAAAATAGCAAAACAATTTTATTTTTGCCATATTTTTTCATGTTTTCTAGATGTTCTGAAAACAATGTAAGAACCCCAAAATGACATCTTCAATCCCTGTAATATTAAACTTGATTTCTTTTCATCATATCTTAGTAAATTCAACCATACATCTTAATTTTATTAAATTAATCCTCCATACTATATTCTATTACTTAACATTAGGAAGAAAAAAAAGACTCTAAACCAAGAATATAATTATATATTTAATACATCTTGCTTTTAACAGCAATTTTCAAAGTAAACACATCATAGACCTTATAACTTATTAAAGATTTATAGTGCTTACAAAGTTGATTCTAAAAATATACCTTATTTGTTCTAAATGAATAACATTATCTGGAAGATAGAATAATAAATTAGAGTAGTATGTTTACCACCACTATAGTTAAGATTGTGTTTATATATTCAATATGAAATCCTCTTAGGATTTTAATATTTTCAGCCTTAAAATGTAAAAAGCACATTAAAGTTTGGCATACAAGATCTCAGTCTGACAGCAATGGTTTTAAAACCAAAAATTTTAAAAAAATATCTAGTTAACATGTTAAGAGAGCATGGGCACATGCACATTCATACACATACACACTCTCACTCAGTTCAGCACATATGCACACACAAACCATACATCCCCCCCGAGTAAGCAGATTTCATTCACCCCTGTGTATCAGAAAATTGCCATCAATTTCAAAACTAAAAATTGAGGGGACAGTTAACTAAAAATACATTCAAGCCATATTTAAATGACTGTAGTTGTTGAAAAGATATGCACAGAATTGTTACCAAGATCTCTTAACATGCATAATATGCCATCTCGATACATTCTTAACCAGGTTTCAACTATTCATTAAGGGGCATATGAATATATAAGACATTATGTACCCATCCAGTCTCCAGATGGCATTCCTCTGACAAGCAGTCACGTGACCCAGCCCAACTAATTTATACAACCCAATATAATGGAACCGTAATACAGAACCCAATAGAATTAGAAACTTCATTTAGATCTGTTCGGGGTTTTTTAGGTGTTCCATGTGCAAAAGCAGCAGGATTCTATATTGCAAATGACAGTTAATATTACTTAACACTTTGTGGCACTGCAGAAGGTCATTTTGTATTTCTAAAACATATATTTAATCTAGATAAATTCCCCAATGGTCCTTACTTTTAATTATATATACTCTTCTAGGTTTAGACTAAAAACAATTTAATGCTTATAGCCATTCCTGCTTATCACTTTTACCTCCAATAAATTCTGTCAAAACAGAAGATTACTCTTTGGACTCTCTCCAGTAATGCAGATTTGAAAAATGTTCTATGGAAGTTCATTTTCATCATATAGTAAAACATCCAAAGTTCTCTGAAACAAGATTAAAATACAGGGTGGGGCAAAAGTAGGTTTACAGTCATGAGTATGAAAAACAGTTTACTCTTGTATTATTATTTATTAATTATTGTATTATTTTCCATACAAACAACTGTAAACCTACTTTTGCCCACCCTAGAGAAAGTAACTACACACTAGGGCACCCATAGCTCATACTGCTGTGATTAGAAAAATAAACGGGCACAACAGTAAGCGAAAGAGAACATACCAGCTTTCCATTTGCTTCTTTTTGGCTTTCCTCTTATTTTATTACAGTAAGTTTATAAGTTGTTCAAAGCATTCCTATATTCTGCATGACAGTAACAAAATATTTTGGCACATTAACATTGTGATACAATATATGGTATGTTTAAAAAATTAATTTAAAATTTTCATCTATTAATCAACACTTTTAATGTAGTGCACATATATTTTACAGTTATTTAAATCAAATACATAAAGATTTGTAGCTGATTTACAGATGGAGCAATCACAGATTGCAGTAATGTGTGTGTGTATATGTGTATATATATATCTAGATAGATATATATATATCTATATATATAACAATCAAGGTAAAAACTGCATCCTGGCAATTTTATAGTCCATAGTTTCATTGGTATATTTATCATTTACATGCCCTTTTCATCTTGTTTTTCTGTACAAAAAATATATTTTTGCCTTCTTCATTCCTGATGAGATTTTTCTGCGATAACTTTACATTCATACTGAAAAATTGAAAAGGTTAAAAGGTTAACAGATACAGGTTTATTTTGAATAGCAATGTAAATTAAAATGTTCAAAAAATTAATACTTTATTATTCTATACCCACTTTATTCCTCAAAGAATCTCAGAGTTATGCAACTATTAGGATTAAATGACAAATGTGGTAGGGAAAAAATTCGCATTCTAGAAGTGAAAGAGGCACAGCCAAAGCAGAAGAAAGATGAGGTTTCCTTATTATAAGCAAATAAAGACAGTATATGATTCAGATCAGTCCTAGAATATGACCAAAAGCAAAGTAGGTTTCTTTGAGTGCTCAGTAACGTGAATCAGCAAAGGAAAAGTCATGAACTTAAGGACAGGACTGATATAGTGAATTCAGATAATATTTTTTCAAATCACTTTATAATTTGAAGAAAAAAAATCTATTACATTAGCAAAAGCTTCTAGTCAAAATATTTTAAAAATACAACACTAGAAATGTACACCTACAATTAAAAATAAAGGAAACCAATGTCCTTAGAATAATTGGGTAGTTAGATTATCAGATGGACAGCAACATAAACCACTCAATTCTCCTACTGATTAAAATGGCAAAAGTGACAACACTTGCTCATGAGATTGGTGTGGTCTCTGAATGTCACTCCTCGACTGGGGTCATCAACAATGTCCTTTCCTTCTCAGCTAAAATGATCAAACATCTTGGTTTGCTGGAGATAGTTCTAATTTATATCTATTGTAGCAATGTCATTATTTTTTTTTCTCCATTTTTTGTTCAGACAGAGTGGGAGGGAGAGAGAGGAAGAGAGAGAGAGAGAGAGAGAGAGAGAAACATCAATGTGAAAGGGACACATCGAGTGGTTGCCACCCGCACAACCAACCAGGGCTGGGGACTAACTGCAACCGAGGTACACGCCCTCAGCAGGAACCAAACCCGGGTCTCTCTGGACCACAGGCCTACGCTCTAACCGCTGAGCCAAATCGGCCAGGGCGCAATGTCATTATTAATAAAGCCTCTTTTCACTGTTAATATTGTTCCTTTTTGAGGAGCAGAAACCTATAAATTAGTTTACTAAAAGGAGGGAGGATAAAGCATATCACCCTGTCCATAACATATTTTAGCTTTTTTATCCAGTGTTCTATTCAACTTTTAATACACTTGTAATTAAATTCTTCAAAATGATTTATTTCAATGGAATTGAAGAGAGAAATCAAAGGATGCTATCATCACAAACCACCTTTCCTTGAAGAAGGATTGTCATTTGAAGAAAAATTGTCTCACATCTCAATACACAAGTGATTAAATAAGCATCAGCTTACCATTGCCAGTTGTCGACCAATGTTTCCCATTGTTATGCCTCCAGCAAAAAATATACATGGTAACCAAGAGCGAACATAGAGAAAATCTGGAGATGTATATCTAGAATAATAGAAATGATTTTAACTGTACAATGACACTTATTAAAATAATTACAATAGAAATAAGCTGTTCTTCAGGCTAACTAAATCTGAATTCAGTTATCATTTATCTACTTTAGTAAATAAGCACCAATAAGAATACTTACTGATAAACACCATTATAGACTAGCAGTTGAGTGACCAGGGTTGCCAAGAAAGCAATTCCTACTCCAAGACCAAAACCAGTTCTAGATCTATCAAAAGTCCACCACAGTCCAATGGATAGTGCAGCCAGGGTGAGAGACAACTGTATGTTGTTATCAAAGTCCACTTTCTGAGATCAGTGTTAAAGAATCATCTTAAAACTTATAATCAAATAAAATCACCTGTTCATGTTTCTAAAATAAGATATGTTACTGTTAAAAAGGGAATTAATCACTTACTCTACAGTGCATTCAATCTTTTAATACAATGTATTGGTGAGATTAAAATAGTCTCTGATACTTACTAATGACACACAGAGGGCATGATATTTCATTAATAGATCCTAAAAAAAAAAACACTTTATATACATTCCCAATTATAAGATCAGATCCACTATATGAGAACTGCTTTCTCTGCTAAAAATGTTAATGGGAAGCCTCAGAACACAAATTTTACTAAAGAAACACATTTTTGCTAAAAAGAAAACCAATATTACTTCTCAAACAGGTTGAGAGTCATACAGAAACTTGAAAATAGAAGAGCTGACAGCTATTTAACAGGGTCCACATTTTCTATATGATTTACTGACAGACACATTTTATAATAATGCAGTTCAGAAACAAGAGCACCAAGGACACAGTATCCCTTTCTATTATGTCAACTGCTCTAGTTTTAATTTGTTGAGGATAAAGCCTTGAAGTGAACATTATCTTGCAACCTGCCAAGCTATTTTGGTGCCTGAGACATTCTGGTATAGGACAGTTTGCACAAATGATATTTTATTTCCATCATCTATTCACAAATGTACAGCCCTTTTCTATTCCAAAATCTCTAAGCAAAACGAAGCTTTACACATTCAATTTTCTCATTTCTTTGCTAGGGATTACACTAAAGAAATTAATTTCAACTATCATTAAAAGGACATTATCGATGTCCCAAAGGCCACATCTTGGCTCTATTTCCAGCTCCCCAGGGGAGACTACACAGCTCACCAAACTAACTGGCCACGCTGCAACTACAGAGAAGAGAGCAGAAGTTCAAAAAAAAAAAAAAGGTTGAAACCACTTCCTACTTCCTTTAACACCCTGCTGTTTCCCACCACTCCCCCTCCCCTACCCAACCAGCTGGTATCCTCAATACCCAGTGTGCTTACTTCTCAGCTGTTAAGGGCCACTCCTTCAAGGTCATTCTCTGTTGAGACTTGATTTATCAAGAAACCTATAGGTTATGAATATGCTTTCTGGAAAAGCTTTTCTTATTTTTTAGCAGGCATAATAAATATGTAAAACTCCACAAAGAAAGCTTGTGAGCTCTGATTTCTCTATGCAAAAACATTCTTGTAAAGAGTAAACTTTGACATTAACTGGGTTCTAATCTATCTTTGCCTACTAAATTAACTTCATTAAGAACTAAAGCAGAATAAGGAGGCTTCTAGGGTAAACAGGTAAATTATCAATCTTAAAAACAATACTGTAGGATTTTATGAAGTCAAACTAATCTAAGTCTATGCTGTAAATTTTTAAACATTTTGGGTTTTGCTTAAAAGATGTCCAGCTAAGACTGCCACATTTAAGTATTTGATTGAGAGAGAAAGAAAAGAATGACCAAAGCAAAGAATTAAATTAGACATATAAACTTTTTAAAATTCCAGAATAAGGCTATTGACATTTCTCAACTTAAAAATAGCAGAAATGTCTGCAATAAAAAAGTCTAATCTATGGCCAGTTTGGCTCAGCGGTTAGAGCATTGGCCTGCGGTCTGGAGAGGCCCGAGTTCGGTTCCCACTAAGGGCATGTACCTCGGTTGCAGTTTGTCCCCGGCCCCGATTGGGTCGTGTGGGTGGCGACCACTCGATGTTTCACATTAATGTTTCTCTTTCTCTCTCCCCCTCCCACTCTATCTGAACAAAATATCAAAAAATGTCCTTGAGTGAGGATAAAAACAAAAACAAAAACAAACAAACAAAAAAAAGTCTAGTCCACAGAGAGCATTTACACACCTGTGGAGCTCCCGCATAGGAGAATGAACATCCCTAGATTGGAGTCAGGATCTCTGGTCTCATCTGTGGCGCAGCCTTACAATATGAATGACTTAACAAAGTACCTAACCTCTCTAGCTTTCATTTGTCTTACTATCTTTATTTTTTAAAAAAAGTGGAACTAGGTGATTTCTAAGTTTTCTTCTAGATATAATATTCTATGAGTCTATCTTTTTAAGCGCTTCTAACTGATACCATTGGAATTAACCCAGTTACTAATTGATAACTGGAAAGGAACAGAGGAAAGGCTAAATAGACGCATGCCCAGTAAAGTCTGAATGAAATAGGGAATGTACTTGTCTGTCAGTCACACCTGGGAACAGGTCATTGGCCAGAATGGGTGTGGCCACTGCAAGGGCTGGAAGACTTGAAATTTAAATTCCTAAACAAAGGGGTTTTCCCTCTTGCCTGCCGGAGCTCCTGGCTCCCTTGCTACAGGGGGCATGCTTCCTGCATCTGCCCCCATACAACGCACTAATGTACTGGAAGAAGCCTGATGCTGTGCCAGACTTAACTCCACCATGGAGCAGAAACTCTGGGCACTGGCTTTGCTTTTAACTCTGCTGAATCCCCATCTGCATCTCTTCCAACACCAGTTTAAGGGGAATGGGACTTTAGAAACCAAGGAATGTACTTCCACGAAAGTAAAAATCACTCATTCTCCCGTGAGAACCTTAGAAAATTATTTTTCTCAAGATATCATAAGACCCCAACCCCTAGCATCCAATGGAGAAAGGGATTCCCTACTTCTACCCGTGGACACCCCGCTCCACCAATAATATAACCACTACATTTGCTTGCTATAAAATCCTAACTATCAAAGACTTTCCCAAAACTAAACATGTTGGGAAATTCTTTAATACAAAAAGAAATGGAAAACCAACATAATAACAGCCACTGAGGGCCTTCCAAATCCACAGATCTCCAAGGGCCAGTACATCTGGGAACAGAAAGGCAAAGGTGTTTTCAGGACATAGGACCCTATTCTTTCCTTGGTCCTTCTTCCCAAGCTTCTCCAAAGCACCTCGATACTTTCTGTAAAAGGCACAGCAATCTACTTGCCACATGACCCACCCTCTCTCTAACCAACTGCCAGCCCTAAGCTCAATGCAGTTATAAGAGAAAAGTTGGGGCAACCCAAGTCACACTTCCTGCTTTTCCCAATGCCACAGCTCCCACCACATCCACTCCCTACACCATATTGAGAAAAGGGAAGACTGAACTAGCATTTCCCAGATCCTCTTCTACAAAGGGAAGTTGGGGGTGGGGAAGAAGAAAGTAGAGAGGATGATAGAATGAAAACCTTATTAGAACAAAAACTTGTGTTCCGGGGATAGACATTGTTTTCTGAGGTAGAAGGGAAAGGGAGGCTACCATGCCCTTCTAACTAGGACACTATAAAAATGACCATTAATCACTAAATAAAATGTCAGAATCCTTAAATGATCAAAATATGTACCTGTAAAATATGTACCTGTCCTGGCCAGGTGGCTCAGTTGGTTGGAGCATTGACCCATATACCAAGAGGTTTTGGGTTCAATTCTGGTCAAAGCACATACCTAGGTTTCAGGTTCAATCCCCTGTCAGAGCACGTACATGAGGCAGCCGATTAATGTTTCTCTCTCACATTGATGTTTCTCTCTACCCCCTACCCCCTCTAAAATCAATAAATATGTCCTTGGGTGAGGATTAAGGAAAAAAAAAAAAAAAGTACCTTAAGGAAAAATGTTCTTTTTCACCAAGGTCTAAGCTGGATATTTCTACTATGCCACATTTAAGGACACTTATGTGGTTTACTAGTGTTGATTAAAACCAATAAATGACAGTCTGTCTTTTTTTTCTTTTTTAAATTATAGGTTCTTGAAATTAAAAACAAAAGAGAACAAAAAACCAGCTCCTGAAGCTACCACTTGTCCTTACTGGCAAACTGTAAATGAAGTAAGAGGAAAGGAATCCTCTGAAAATTTACATTTCAATGCTAGAGTTACCAAAACTTATATGTAAGTAATTTAGTAACCTAATTTAAGAAAAACATGTAAATGTTTTAAACATGTAAATTTTCTAAGTTATAGTGAAAAAAATGGGATTTAAATGAAAGGCTAAAGCCTGCACATATAGATGCTACCATGATTTTTCAGCAATACGACGCACATTCTTTTTATGACTCAGTGGGCATATCACAATTTGACAACAGTGAAGTTGCAAGGGACCAGTTAACCTTTGGTTTGTCAGGAGCTGCTTTGTTATTACGCATTTCATTACAGCAAAAAGGATACAGCGCTGGCATGATTTATACCAACAAAGACGGCTACGCACCGCATTACACTGGACCACTCTCTTTTAAATTTATGTGGTTCTCCTAGGTGCCTGTCAATGCAGGGGTATAATAACCCAATCACAGCTGTGGGGGGGGGGGAGAAAAGAGAAAAAAATTAAGTCATCTCCAATGTGATACTGGCAAAACTTAAGCTAAGAGTCACTATAACCATCATAAGCATTTGAAACAGTCTTTAAAAAAACTCTTTAAGATACTTAATGTCAACTGCTGATATGTATTTTAAACTTACCTCCCAAAAGAAAAAAAATGAGAACACCACTGAAGAAAGTATTATAAACGATTGCAATAGTATTCAATATTATAACAGACAAAACAATATTTCAGTCTATGATTCACAATTTAGCAGAATGGACTAGATGACTCATGTTACTTTTCTACTGCTAACATCTCTGAGACTTGAGAAGCATCATACCAGTTGGCGGTTATGCAATGTTCTGTCTAAGCTATATAACCATGAAACATTCTATCAAATGCCACAAATCTAAAGAGAAGCTAAGGGTTAAACACGTACAACAAGCTCATCATACACACAACATTCAGATGGCTATGGCTGTCCTATTAATGACCATCCTTGACCCTCCAGCTTCTTGTCTCAGTCTCCTGCTTCTAGCCCTGATCTGACACTTCCTTCCACCCTGGCCCTCTAATGAGACTCTAGGTCACATTGTCAAAGCAGGGAAACTTGCAGCAAAAATCTACATATAAGACTCATTCTGCATATAGAAAAATTAGAGAAAACATGGTCTATAAGAACTATAAATTCTTGGTAAAAATGTAAATTCACTGTTAAAATATAAGAAATCATTTTAGTACATTTCTTACTTTTGGAAAGAACATCTTAACTGCTGTGTAATTAATTATAATAAGTATATGCAAAATGTCTATAATTGAGACTCAAAATATTCACACCCAATTTTTAACTTAAATACTTGTCAAACCTCAACTTTTTATTCATTTGGTTGAAGAAGATTTAAAATGCTCAGTCATTTAAAAAAAAAAAAAAAAGACTATTTAATGAACCAAAACTTTCTTCAACAAGTTATAAGGAAAATGTATTTCCAAAGATTAAATTTAACAAGTCAAAGCTGCGTAGCTATTTCCTATTAATCTTCCCAAAAATAGAATGTTCATGCTGCCACTAGGAAACAATGACACAATTATCACATCAGTTGAAAATCATGTTTAAAATGTCCAATACCATCTATGTCATATCATGAAACTACTGCACCAAAATTGGTGTGTCCAAGGGTCAGAAGTTTCTGCCTAACCTGATGTTGGCTAGCTATACCTCACAAAAGATCATTCAATCTCCAAGGAAAATGGAAATCAGTTAATATCAAACATCACAGGCCAGCAGACCAATGGAGCAGCATGAAGAGGCTGCAATAACACGTGCATTTCCTAATCCACAAAACACTTGAAGACGCTCTTTTCAGTGAGGCCTTCGCTGAATCTAGATGATTAACAGACCATCGGGGATTAATAACAAACTTCAGTACGGCAGAGGTTCAAAACTTGCTAGTAAATTTTAAAGTTTTTCATTACAACAGGTCCTTGAATAATGTCACTTCATTCACCATCATTTTATTATAGCATTGTAGGAGCTTAAACTCGTTTATATCAATTAACCTATGATAAAACTGGTTTTATTATCTGTCATTTCCATTAAAGTTGCAGAACTAACTGATGACTTTAAGTAAGTACTTACTGTATATTTCTTTTTAAAAGGCTATGCTCTAAAATCCTGTAAGATTAACTGACAGCATTTCCAAGTTTCTACAAAATTAAAGTGGCAACAAGCATGCCTATGAGTTGAAACATATCTGAATGAATATTACCTCTATTTTTTCTTAAGGGGTCATGAGACTAACAGCTCATATGACATTCCTCACTCTCATTTGTGTTCTCTTTCTCTTCCCTTTGCCTGTTGCTAAGTACAATCAACTACGATCAGGCATTCCAAGTCAATTTTCCTCAGCAGCTGATGCCATAGGTAAAAAATTATCACATAGAGAGGACTGACATGTGTGCAAAGATATAAATAAGTAAAATGGACTATATTTTTACGCATGTGATGTCAGACTCACAAGTGAGAGACAACTGAAGAGAGAGCAAAAACACAAAAGGAATTTAAACTACCATGCTGCCAACCTTGGGATTTGCCAATAAAAATCAAATCCATTGAGTATGCATGGTTCTTGGTTGCTCACTGAGAGGGAGAATTCAAGGAAGCTTGTCACTTCCCATTAAATGTCTTCTTTCTTCCCCTGAAATAAAGGCATGGCAGAATCTGATAGCAATATCTACAGCACAGGGAAGCACCACTGTTTAGGAGCTCAGCACAGGTATCTGTGGTCTTCTTTTCCTTTTTCTCCACTTTCTTATTTTAACAAGAAAGACTGTTATAAACATGCCTGTGTAAAATCATGCAAACAAGTCTGGTTAATCAGATGGTTCTATGATGCAAAACCATATTTTTGGGGGATACCGGCACACCTCGTTTCATTGCTTTATTGAGCTTTGCAGTTTTTTTTTTTTTAATTGAAACTAAGATCCTCCACCAGCATGAGATTGCAACTCATTGTGAGCTCAGATGATGGTTAGCATTTTTTAGCAATAAATTTGTTTATTTATTTATTTTTGGTTAATCCTCACTGAGGATATTTTTTCCATTGATTTTTAGAACGAGTAGAAGAGAAGGGTGTGGAGAGAGAGAGAGAAAGAGAGAGAGATAGATGTATCTCTCTCACATTGATTGGTTGCCTCCCCCATGTACCCCAACTGGGGCCAGGGATCAAACTTGCAACCCAACTACGTGCCCTTGTCTGGGAATCAAACCCACAACCCTTTGGTGCGTGGGCTAACACTCTTAACCATTGAGCAATGCTGGCCAGGGTGCAATAAAGTATTTTAAATTAAGGTATGTACATTGTTATTTTAGACATAATCCTTTTGCATACTTAACAAGCTAATGTATAATATAAACATAATTTTTATATGCTCTGGGAAAATGAAAAATTCACATGACTCGCTTTAATGCAATATCTGCTAATTGTGGTGTTCTGGAACCAAACCCACAACATCTCCAACGTATGCCTGTATTTATTTCCTAGTGACCAGTTAGAGCCTACCAAGACTATAAAGAAAAAGAATCTGTAAAACATTAATATTGTCATCACTTTTACATGGTAATGTGTTTAATGCAGTGATAACTAAAAGAAACACTTAAATCAAACATCTGTCAGGAAAGGGGGCTGAAAAAACAAAACCAGTGAGTGAGACATACTTTCATGGAAAACCATTATAGGATAGGCAATGCTTTCATTCAATAATTACGTAAGCTCCCACAATGTGTCTGGTTCTTGGTATTTGCTGGGGATTTAAAAAGAAAACAAGAGTAAGATATGACCCCAGTCCCAAAGTGACCACAGAACAATTAAATACAGTAATGTGCTAGGGGTAGCAATGACAGGGCCCACTGAGCTCCCAGTCTTCTCCAGGCACATGCTGAGGGAGGAGAGGTGCTAGGGTGTCAGGAAAGCTTCACAAAGAGGTGATCCTTGAGGCAAGAGCAGTTTAGCAGGTAAATGGTGTGGAAAAAGCTTTCTAACCAAAGAGAAGCATTTGGGAACAGAAAACACCCAGTATCACCTGAAACTGTAAGAGTTAGGCAGAAAGGGAGCTCAGGATCCAGAGAGGCTCTGAGGAAGATAAAAGTAGGCAAGGGCCATATCAGAGAGACTTGACCCTGCAGATCGTGGGAACCAGGAAAATAAAGCCACCACACTTGTCCCCAATAGAGAGACAATCGTTCTTACAGCAGTGAGTGTACACTACATGACAGGGGAGGGGAGACTGGAGGCAAATCAGAGGCAGAAGACCTGAAAATTCCAAGCAGAGTGGTAGAGGGTCTGGCCCAAGAAAGAGACAGAGGAGAGATGTGAAACGTGGAAACCAGCTGCAGGAGTCGAGAGGAGTCCTGCAGGGCTCTCCAGAAACTGGGTAACTGACTGCACGGCTAAACAGAAAAGGTTTGTTTTTTTTCTTTTTAAATTAGACATTAGTTTCATAGGTAAGAATCCAATCTTGTAATTTGTGATTTCTGAGTCAACTTCTCTACTTATTTTACCCACACAATTATAGTTGTCTTTTTTCTCCTATTTATTCTTCATAAAGATTCCTTTGTCATCCTCAATAATGTTGAAGAGATTTCTAAGTCCAATTCTAAAGCACTTCACATAAAGAAGTTAATCAACTTGAAACACTAGTCATTATTAAACAAAAGTAGAGAAAGAAAATGAGATCAAAAGCAATTTACCAAAGTTCTCTACCAGCTGTCCCTCCAGAAGTACCAGTAGCAAATTCCCCAGCCCTATGTGTTATACAGAAAGGTAGAAATAACCAGGACCCTTCTGTTTACATGTAGAGAGCGGTGATGGCAGCAGTCTATGAATATTCGTTGGAGAGGAAAATTAAAGGACAATGATCAGTTTTTCTGATTTAAGATAGTAAGAGCCGAGAGCTTTGAAAATTCATACCAACACATACGCAAAAATATAAGCATGCTACATACACAAGCAAAGTCATATATACTATGTTTACTTTATTTACTTTATTTTTCCTTGATATTTACCCTCAAATGGGGAGGGGCAGCAATTATACAAGAATCCATTTTCCATCTTTGGCAACTTTCACAAATCTGATATCTTACCCAACAAAATCAGTAGCAGTGGTAACTGATAACTAGATTTCCTAATGCCTCTACTTTCTTTTGCCCAGGTGCCTCAGGGAATGCACTGCTTTCAGAAGAAATAGTTAAGCAAGAAATGCAAATCCCCAAATGAAAAGATGTGATGTTCAGTTTGCAAGTGTGAGAAAGCTAGTGGCTAGGAAAAGGAAGGAAAGGAGGGGCCAAGTGACTTGCATGCTGTATTAACATTTAGAATTCTCCTTCCTAAGCTTAAGGTTTGTGGCAGAAGTGCCCACATCACACTATTCTTCTCCATACAGAGGTAAAGTAAAACCTCTGTCAGATTCTCCTGCCCAATCCCAGAATGTGTAACAAACGCCAGTGCACTCCATCCAAGCCTCACACTCAGTAGGGAGGCTTTGAAAAAGACACACTGAGGAGAGGAGGTTTGAGTAGCATCCTTTTTCCCCTTCACCAGCTTGGGACATTTGACCTAGCTGCATAGTCACTGGCTCTGGGACCCTGGGTTCATTAATATCCTCTCATCATTTCAGCTTCCTCATCCTCCCAAAATAGGCACGGTGCTCCCAAAGTTGCCCTGCAGCTCCCTGGGGTAAAAGATGCTCCAAGCACATTAGTAGACATTCAGTAATTGTTATCTACTTTAAAAAGAAGACCATAACACATCCTTCAAACAAAATGCTTCAAACCAAACAGTGGTGATCATCATCAAAATAATTTAAAATAAGACTTACATGAGATGGGCTGAAGATAGGAAAAAATTAAGAGATTGAAAGCCTCATCTCTCGGAAATCAGACTTTTAGGATTACATTTTTGAAAGTCATAGGTCAGCCCTGGCCAGTTTGGCTCAGCGGTTAGAGCGTCGGCCTGTGGTCCGGAGAGACCTGGGTTCAGTTCCCGCTAAGGGCGTGTACCTCGGTTGCAGTTTGTCCCTGGCCCTGGTTGGGTCATGTGGGTGACAACCACTCGATGTGTCCCTTTCATGTCGATGTTTCTCTCCCTCCCACTCTATCTGAACAAAATATCAAAAAATGTCCTCAAAAAAAAAAAGGAGGGGAAAGCCATAGGTCAGATAGAAATCAGACACAAAAGAGCACATACTCTATGATCCCATTTATATTACAGTTTATAACAGGCAAACATAAACTAGTCATGGAAATATCAGTGGAAGCCTGATGTTGGGGGGGAAGTGGACTTCGAAAAGGCACAAAGAATTTGTGGGTGATGGCAATGTTCTATAACTGGATTGTGATGGTAGTTACATGACTGTATGCATTTGTCTAAACGCATCAAATTATTTGTTTAAAACAGGTACATTTATTGTATTTAAATTAAACCTCAATAAAGTTGCTTTAAACAACAACAACAAAAAACCACTGCTCAGACAAAATCCACCCTCATCCACCCATTTTCTTCCTAAGCATTACAGAAATGACCTACACGTACCTGAAGCTGTGCCACAGCACGGTGGTACCCACCATGCGGAAGAAAAGATGCTTGCAATCACATCAGGTGGAAAAAGTGTCACATTTCTCTGAATCTGAAGTAAATTTAACACTAATGCCAGAAATACTCCAATAAAAAACAGCACTACTCCTCGAATTATCAAATTTACACTCCGGCTAGTCACAGATGAGATATAGGGACCACGCTTTTTGGGCCCAGGTGATTCTGTCTCTCCTTCTGCCATGGTTTCATAAGTTCGGTAAGCCAGCCAGCCAAAAAAAAAAAAAAAAAAAGGCTTCCCAGCTGAAAAGACAACTATCTGTGAATCAAAGCAGACTGGTGTTTCAACAGTACCGCATCTTGCCCTGAAATAGGACCTACCAGAAATCCTGCAAGAGATAAGAAAAAAGCATTAATGTGGTCTAGTAAATGATTATGTAATTTTTCTAATGTCAATATTAATTAATTTAAAAGGATCAACAATAAAATAGCCTTATATTATTTAAAGTGCAACACTTAACATTTACTAGGACAGAATAAGTAAACTAAGAGACTTTTAGAATAGTAGTAAGAAATAGCTTGCCCTACCTCAGAGAAAAGGGGAGCAGGTTATACGAGATACTCCCATTAGAATTTGGAAGATAATTCAGATTTCTGTTTCTTCTACCTAAATCTTTATATTTTACAGAAAATAAATTAATTTATACTTTACAGAAAATTAACACACTCTGATTGAGAATGTTGAACTGTTCACTATAAAATGTGACTTGCCCATGAGGACAACCTTCAGGGGGGAACAAAATGATGTGTTTTAATGTTTAACGCTTATAAATTTGAATTTCTGCACAAAAGTCTTACCAAAAGCAGACACCACTCAGTCACCTACATACACAACAATCACAGAAAGCAGACCTGACCTTCTCTCCAGAGCCACAGCCGTGTCCCAGCCCCGCCTAGACCCATTCCACCCTTGGAATCATGGGAGCTTTTGTGAAAAACTAGAGTAGGAAGCAGAAGAAAGGAAACTAAGAAAGTGAAGAAAGAAGCTAGATTCTAAAGAGCTTTATCACATAGATTCTGACTCCTAAAACCTAGAACTTTGCTAATACAGTCAGTGTAGGTATTTGTTCACTCCTCTAACCAAAGTGATGTTTGCGTTTCAGACAACATTTGAGGCTTTCTATGAGCTGTTCTAAGCACTTGACATCTGGTAACTCATATAACTCTCACAAGAACCCTAAAAAGTAAGTGTAATTATTATATCCATTTCACAGATGAGGCAGAAAAGCAAAAAAAAAAAAAATAGAGGTTAAGTCAATTAACCAAATTTATACCGCCTGATAAGAGGATGAGCTGGGATTCATATCTGTGCCATCTGGCTCCAAAGCCCTCATTCATGATGCTCAGCCTCCCAAATGTTGCATATTCTTCCATGTGTTTTCTATAAATGTTATCTTTTTTTAAAATGGGAAAATACTATACAGACTCTTTTTGTAACTTACTTTTATCCCATCCAACAATATATCCTGGCCATCATCAGAAGTCAGCACCTAAATAGTATTTCCTTTGAATCTCAAAGCAGTTTATTTAAAAGGTTAGGATGGCACTTCTAATAGCTACCTTATAATAATATGTACAGTTGATTCATGGATTATAAATTTTTTATACAGGTCTTATTCACTATCAAGTCTCTACTGTGCCTATGCACCCAGAAAGGTACCTGCCTAGCCCACAGTGGGAGCTCTATATATTCATATTTGTTTATTGAAATTGGGTTAACCCTTTTAAAATCAAACTACATTGGGTTCAACAGGCCTTTTAGGAGGCAAACGAAGCACTTAGTCACCATTTAAAATGCATTTCCTCTGAGTTTCCAAGTTTCAAAGTATTACAAATGAACTGTGGAATAAAACCCATGTGTAAATTGAGGGGAGTGGGTACTGACTTTAGAAACAATCAGCATGAAAATGAGAACACTGGTAAGTAATAGCAACTTTCACAGCCTACCAGTTTCATGTGATAAATACAGAGAGACTTTTTTTACTGAGCCTCTGCCACACCCAAAGCTCTTTGCCTAACACTCAAGGGGGTAATTGTGTCCTCAAGCTAGTGCTCACAATCCTATAGCATAAAGCTCCACAGCTTAGAGGACTCAAGAAAACAGTACATGTTACAGCTGATTCATGGGAAAATAGACTCTAAATACCAACTGAAATTGCCCAGAAAACATCTCCTCCTGACCTGGTTTTGCAGACTACTCCTTGCTGTAGTATTCAGCACACAGCACATGAGCATGACATGGATTCTAAGGCACTGAGCAAGGTGCTCAGTAACTACAGAATTCTTCTTTTTTTTTTTGTATTAGTTTACTTTTGTTACAGATGTTTCTCCCCCCCCCCCATACACCCTCCTCCCTATCCCGCCCCCACACCAAGCATTGTTGTCTATGTCCATTGGTTAAGCATACATGCATGTAAATTCTTTGGTTTATCTCATCCCTCCGCCTCGCCCCATCGCCTCTGAGGTTTGTCAGTCTGAACCATACTCTCTTCTACAGAATTATTCTTCATCTTCATCATCATCATCACCATCATGACTATTGATATAGCACCCCTTTATGGAGGGCCTATTCCATGCCAGACATACAGGGACTCTAATCTTCAAAATAATCCTAAAGGTAGGTATTATCATCCTCATTTTACAAATGAAGTCAAAGAGATTTAGCAACTTGCTTATGGTCACATGACATGCAATATTAGAACTAGATTTTGTCCTTACATCCGACTGATTCCAAAACCCCTTCTCTTTTCTCCACACCTTGAGGCAAATTCCAACCTAACTCCTCAGGCTTCTCTTTTGGCACCTGCGTCTGTAGAAAAGGATTTGGTTACTGAAAAGATGGGTATGAGGCAGGATAGTAAGAAGCCAGGAAAATTCCTTGGCAAGTAGAATAGGGAAACTGAGAAAGAAAGCCGATTAACTGGCCTCATCCCAGCACCCTGCCTCCTTCTCCCTTACACGACCACTCACTCCCTTAAGCATTAAGACCTCAGGACAATAAAATTCATCAAATAATCTTAGGAATAAATCCTCAGGTCTGTTGACCATGGAGACAGAGTTTTGGTCAAACAAAAGAAAACATCTAGGCCTCAGTTGTGTTTCAGCTCCAGGCCCAGAAAAGCAGCAAAATCAGATGGAGCAGTGCTATGGCTGACATCAGGACCAGCTGCAATGACTAATGACCCCCTACTCTAGCCTGAAAGGACACACCTAGAAAGCTGATGAATATTCTATTGAGATCCTTCCCTGATACCACTGCTAAAATTCCCACCTTTAGAAAACATATAAAAACCCTTAAGACAAAGGACCCAGCTATTCTCATTCTCTCTCCCGCCACCCCCTCTCTGGAGTTAGCCCATGTCTTCCCCCTCTTTTCTTCCCTCAGGCAAGTACCTTTGCTTTCTTTCTCTTTTGCCTCTATAACTTGTTTCCTGAGTCTGCAGAGCCCAACTGGCTCACTTCTACTTCTGTGACTTTCAAATAAACCTTATGGTAGAGTTCTTGGCTCTGAATTCTTTTTTTGCCAAACTCAAGAATTGAGGTCTAACACTGCTACTAACAGGTAGATATTAGAAAACAATCTCAACTATAGTATTATCAAGGTACTAATGCCACTATAAGTAGGCAACTGTATAATAACACAAAGACCATGAGAATAAATGTACAAACACCTTGAAATTTTCTTAAATGTACTAGATCAAGGAGTAAAACAAACGTTTTAGAGGAAAAAAAAACTCATATTGCCAACTAAACATACTTCATTAGACCAACAGAGTTGATTCTTCACTTCTTAAACTTCCGGTAGGCACAGCAAACCCCCACTTTTGCTGTCAAAACAGCTACTAGAGAACAAAGAGTATACAGTTGACCCTTGAACTATGTGGGGGTTGGAGCACCTATGCCCTTGCAGTCAAAAATCTGTGTATAATTTCTGACCCACCCCCCTCCAAAAAAACTTAATTAAGTTGGCTCTCAGTATCCTCGATGGACTGGTTCCAGCACTGCCCACAGATAACAAAATCCACAGATGTTGAAGATCCTTATATAAAATGGCAGAGCACAATGTATACATTCGGTTCCCACATCTGTGGATTCCCAACCACAGATCGAAAATACTGTTTTCTTTTTTTTTTTTTTTTTTTTTTACATCGATATGAAAGGGACACATCGAGTGGCCACCACCCACACGACCCAACCAGGGCCAGGGACAAACTGTAGCCAAGGTACATGCCCTTAGCGGGAACCGAACCCGGGTCTCTGTGGACCGCAGGCTGACGCTCTAACCGCTGAGCCAAACTGGCCAGGGCCAAAAATACTGTTTTCAATCAACAGTTGGTTGAATTCATGGATGCAAAACCTGAAGTAACCAAGGGCCAATTGTATTGAAACAAAAAAATCTGCACATAGGTGGGCCCACACAGTTCAAACCCATGTTGTTCAAAGGTAAACTGGATATACATTTTTTGGTAACCCAAACTGCTTTAGTAAATCATTTGTTTAAGTTTGTGATTTTTTTTTTCCAAAAGGGAATTAATGGCAAAGGATATTTTATGTACAATAATGTTTTTAAGAGAGCAAAATAACTTCAGTTTTAAAACCTATTTCAGTTGTGGTAGGCCCCATCTCACACTCACTCACCAGGGGTTGTCAAAGGGCTTTGGCATTTGGGGCTGGACAATTCCTTGCCGTGCAGAACTGCCCTAAGCATTGCAAAATGCTTCGCACCCCTGGCTTATACCCACAAAAAGTCACTACATCCCCTCTCCCCAATTTAAGACATTTTAAAATGTCCCTACACATTTCCATATGCCCCCAGACAGGCAATGCCCACCACTGAGAGCCACTGATTGCTAGAGACTCTTTCTTCATTCTATTTCAAGGCTGCTAGAGACTTTCTAAACTGTTTATATTATTCTACCACAGCTGTTTATTCAACCTTTCCTGGTAGTGCTTGTTTATAGTTTCCTACTTCACCCCAAAAGTTTTCTTTAAAAATAACACAACAGCCTTGCCGGTGTGGCTCACTGGTTGAGCACTGACCCATGCACCGAGATTGCTGGTTCAATTCCTGGTCAGGGCACATGCCCAGGTTTCGGACCCGATCCCCAGTGTGGGGCATGCAGGAAGCAACCAATCAATGTTCTCTCTCGATTTTCTCTATCTCTCTCTCCCTCTCCCTTCTTTCTCTAAAATCAATAACAAAAAATATTTAAAAAATAAAAATAACACAACATTGTTTGATATTTATTTGAATGAGCTTTTTTTTAAAGCTAATTTTTTTAAGTCCAAAAATATAATTTTATGACTGACTACATAATGATACAATAGTATATAATTACTGTAAACAAAAGTTTAAAAATGCTTTAGAATCACAGTACCCTAAAATTTAAGAAATGGCAGAGAAATAGAAGATCATCCCTTCCAAGGGGTGTGTGACCTAATGCAAAACAAAAAAACAAAAAAAGTTGTGCATATGTGCATTTTCTGAGTGAGAAGCCAGTGCCACAGTTGATATCAAGTACTCAAAAAGTCCATGATTTAAAAGAAGGTCAGAACCAGTGATCTAACTGCTCTCTCATTTTACTGGAGAAGCAAATGAGACACAACATGGTCAAGTGAAGTGACCAGATGAAGGCTGTGTTCTACTGGATCATGCTACCACAAACATGTAAAGTGAAACCCTGAAAATGGCCAGACTCATCGAAGGAATAAGAAATTCCCCTAGACCATTCACTCTCTACTGTGGAACAATTAAGTTACTAAAAAAGAATGTTGTTTATAATATTCGTCAAGCACTAGGGAAGTGGGGTATTTTAAAGTGAAAGCTCCTGGAAAAAGTATCCACTAATTTGTTTGTTTTAAAGTTTGGTTTTCCAATTATGTGTTGAAATTATTCTCTTAAAACAAAGAATGCCATGGGAGGAGGGTGTCAATGGGGGAAAAAGAAGAAACACCTGTAACAAAAATAAAAATAAATTAATTTTTTTAAAAAGAAGCTTATACTTATAAATATTACTCTTATATCAATAATTAATTTGATTCTCCAAAATTAAAAAATAATCTATATTTGAAAATTTTAGATCCCTCAAGAAATAATTTGCTGATCAGGAAAGAAGTTTCTGGTATAAAGATACCCATTAGAGGACAATATCTCAACCGAGCCTCAATAATAATATTTTTGGTAAGGAGGCAGGTGTTTTAAATCCCCACTTTATAAACTAGAATGGGCCAAGGAACTTTCTGAGATCATGAAACTGTTACCAGATAGCACCAGTATTGGCCCCAAGCACTATGACTCCATGTCTAGAGTACTTCCCATTTCCCTCCATTGCCAAACATCGTACAAAAACAAGTGCCACCAAGAAACAGTGTTTAAAGTCATGTTGACAAACTACTGTTAATATCAAAATAAGTTTGTTTGTTTTTCCAAAAACTTACAAAGAGCCCTGGCCGATTTGGTTCAGTGGTTGGAGTGTGGGCCCACGGACCAAAGAGTCTCAGGTTTGATTCCAGTCAAGGAAACATACCTTGGTTGTGGTTCAGCCCTAGTCAGGGTCTTGCGTGAGCGACGGATCCCACTGACATGTCTCTCACATCGATGCTTCTGTTTCTCTCTCTCTCTCTCTCCCCCTCTCTGTCTCCCTCCTTCCCACTCTATCTGAAGATAAATGGGAAAATATCCCCAGGTGAGGATTAAAAAAAAAACTTACAAAGAAAAAATTTCCACAGCACATGAAAAATTCTACCTTGAGCCCTGACCTACAATTTCTATAAAGTGAATTACTGAACAACAACAACAACAAATACAGTTTAAATAGTTTGGATAGATAAATAACAAATCATCAAAACAGGAAAGACGTTATTCCAGGTATATGACTACTTGTTAGTGGATTAATATTGTTTCCAGATGAATAAAAGAGGATTATAAGTGATTCTGGGCTTTGTGAATGAAAATCATAGTTGGTATTTGCCACTGAAACAATTTCAGGCAATTGAAATGAAAACAAACACACAAACAAAATCTCCTAGTGACCTTAAGAACCAAGTGCATTTCAACAATTGCAACAACGCCTAACACCAAACAAGATCATTCATCTTCCAAAGATTAGTAGTCACAGAAGTATGTTTGCTCCCTCAGATTAACCAATCTCTTCAGGTGCTGAGGTCACATAGGCTACTAAATAATAAAATTAAATTACTACCTCATCTTTTTCACCATATGCTTTCTTAATAAGAATGGCACTCACCAAATAGAATAAGCATTAACATTAGGAAAAACCCACTTAAATCAATGAAAAAGTTAAACTCTCCTTAAATATAAGTACACACAGGTGAATTATAAGTTATAGGCATTAAAAACTTCCAGGAAGAAAACGTTTGTCTTGAAGACACAAACTCACCTTTCCTCTCGACATTAAAATCCAAACAGAAACCATTAAACAAGCAGCATTCACATCCCATTACTGCTTTTAAATGTCAAATCTCAGTCTCTAAAAAGGTGACTCCACCGTTTGGGAATAATTTTCTGATAATGAAAACAAGCTGTCTTTAAACTACTGAATTACATTTTATCCTTTCCTTTCCAGCCCACCATATGTAAAAGCAACAGTTGTCAGTTTAAAACGAATCAACCTGTTTCCCAAATGTACACGATTCACGATTCACGGCTTGGTCACTTTGTATCAGATATCTACCTAGGACTCCAACAAAACATACTACTCAACATGTCCAGAGAAAGGATGAAGGCAAGAAAATTGAAAGAATACATGACTACCCCCCCAACACACACACACACACACACGCACTACCCTATCAGCAGCAGCACCCTCTTCATTCATTTTCACAAAGCAGTTTGCTATCAAGGCCAAACCCAAAAGTGGGAAAACGCAATCTAACCACTGCTTGGCTGCCTTCATTCTTCCTGCACCCAGCCAGGCCTGGGACGTGTCTTCCCTGCAATCCTCAGCTCCACTGCGATGCTGATCCCCACCAGTTACAGCTGTCAAGTCTATCCTTCCTAAAGCATTTCTTCATCAAGCCTACAAAATAGTAAGCTCTTTGAGGTATATTTTCCCAGACTATCTAGCTAACACCATACTTCCAACAACTTTTTACCAACACTAACTGGGCATGGATCCTTGTCCCCTTTTTGGCACCCTTTCCCTGCCCCCCATCAGCCACTGCCCAACTCTAAAATCCCACGGTGATTGTGATCACCAACCGACTCCTGGGTCTTGACAAGAGTTCTCTTTGGCATACCCACACACCTTCTCCTAAGGTTTCCAATTCCAGTCCAAAATGCCAAAGTCCTTTTTGTGAACTATAAACTTACTAAAGCATCTACCGTTTGGGATCCACCACCCTCCCAAGCCTGAGTCTCGCCGGCTACAAGCCTCCCAAGTCCTGTCAGCTGTACGCTTGACAGCTCGCCGACCTCCACCCCCCTCAGATCTCCAGGGTCACCCTTCCCGCCATCCTCCAGCCTTCTTTCCTCTCGGACACCCTTCCACTGTCCGGGGAGCCTCGGCTCTCCGGTGACCTCTCCCCGACCCCTCTGTCCCCTTCCGGACCTCGCCGACCCTTCTCCAGATGAGCGGAACCCCTCGCCCTTCAGGCCCCGTCCGCAGCCCGGGCTCCCCGCACTGGCTAGCAGGGTTCCTAGGATGCACAATCACCAGGAGTTCCTCTTCCCGAAGGCCACCCACTTCCTCCGGCCACTTCCCTCAGCACCAGTCAATGGCGCTTCGCAGGGGACCCCAACTCACCCCCGCCTCCGCCTCCGCCATCTTCTGGGACCGGCCCCGCCCCCTCCCCCTCTTCCTTTTCCCCTCCCACAACTCGGCCTGAGCTCCACTGCGCCTGTGCGGCCGACGAAGGCGCGCCCAGAAGATCGGGGCAGAAAAACTTCCGGTTCTGACCGATCTAGTTGGTAGGCCCGCGAGCTGGGGCAAAAGGGCTTCCGGTCCGCCTGAGATTAGCTGCAGGTTGTAGGCGTGGACCGTCGTGGGAGGGTGCCAGATCTGCTGTTGTTTGCTGACCAGGCGGTCGTGGGTTGTGACGAGTGCCCAGACCCTGTGGGCGGTGTCAGAGAGTCGTGCACTGTCTCACGCACACTCTTTCGAAGGAGCAGCTCTCAGCGGACCCCTCTCCTCGCAGCCCAACCGAGGGCTCTGGAGCCAGGCCGCCGAGTTCGGGTTCTCCCGCCACGGATGCTAACTCTCTACCCTTGTGCTTTTGCTGGGCTTTATTCTTGACCTTTTGTTCTTCCGTGCTAAATCATCATTTCTTTTAGGAGAAGAGTGCAATTGATATTTTTCTCATCTCCATTCCACAGCACTTTATGCGGTTTTCATTCATAATCATTCACCAGACTCGACCATGTAACACGGATTGAGTAGGAAGAGCTTGAGATGTTTACAGAAAAGTAGAGAAAATACAGAACCTTACAACTTATTTATCAGAAGTAGTACTATACTATGGATGTGGTCAGATTACAGTGGTCTTGAGGAAAGTGTTAGATGAAATTTGGGCCTAGAGGGATTGCTTAAGAGCTTTGCAAAGGAGTGTCAACTGGGGGAATTCCTTTGTTGTTTTTACTTTGAAATGGTAAATGACTAAATGGATTTTTATGTTTGTACTTTTTATGGGTGTGTTTATTTATGAAACTTGGAGGAGAGATTAAATTGCAACAAAATGCATCTAAGCAAGTATTTATTTGACTTTTCTTGTTTTCTCTAATGTTTCCTATAGCTCTTAAATTTCTCTCGTAGGTTTTTACACTACCACCAGTAAAAAAAAAAAATTGTTATACTGAACAGATGAGGAATTTAAAAAATAAAAGAGAACCTGGCTGGTGTAGCTCAGTGGTTGAGGGTCAACCCGTGCACAAGAGGTCGTGAGTTCATTCCTGGTCAGGGCACATGTCCAAGTTGTGGGCCAAATCCCCAGTGGGGGGCACGCAGGAGGCGGCCAATCAATGTTCTCTCTCATCTGTGTTTCTATCTCTCCCTCTCCTTTTCTCTCTCTTTAAAGTCAATAAAGAAAAAAATAAAAGAGAAAAATAACCCAGAAAAGACAAAATGTCTGGACATCAAGGCTCTCTGTAAATCAGTGTGAGTCTTAGTCCAGCTCATGTCTCCCTAACCCAGTCTTTTCAGACACTTAGAAACTGCCTTCAAGAAAAACCTTATGGAAAATTTGAACCTACTTAGGCATTTATTTTAGTTTAAATATTTTTTTATTGCAGCAAGGGACAAGGCCTAAAATATCAAGAACCCTGTGGCACCATTTCCTAAGGTTCTTACATCCAGTGCAGTCATTCCTGCTGCAGTACAAGGCAGAGTTCAAAATCTTAGGAGAAATTCAAAGAGCCAACGTCCTCTTCTGGCTAGGTTTGAGAACAGTTCTAATGGAAGCTGTAGTCTTTCGGTAGATACTGAGGGTAAGTAGGCAGATATAAGGGGGTTGTACCTTCTGGTGGGAGCGCACAGTTGGAAAAATGTGAAACATTGTATGGAGACCCTGCAGTGTGGAAGGATGTGTGGCATGACATATGAGATCTGAGTGCCAAGCTCATGAATTTGTACTAAATTTTTGCTATTATCAAGAAAACATTAAAATCTCAAATTAACTGATGCCAGAATATGAATTGACTAGGAACTTTGAGAAATCAGAACAATTTGGATTACTTTGAAGTTGGTATAATATGGTCAATAGAATACTGGTGAAGGATTTTTGAAACTTGATACTATGAAAGCAAGTTCATACTGTGTTCATGTCCAGTAAATTCATTTTTCGTTTTATTTTTTCTCATTGTAAAATGAGGGATTGGCCTAGATTATTTCTAAGGTCCTTTTCATAGGCAAAAATATCAATGATTTGATAAATCTGTGACTTCAGAGACTTTTTTCCATTAACCTTATATGTTGTTTGGTCTCCCAAACGAATAGGCCAAAAGGTAGATGGCAAAACAAACAAAAACTCTTTTCATAGCTAATACAAACACCCACAAATTTATTTGCCTTGTTGAAGTGAGATATTGTTAGGCTAACATAATTGCCCAAGAGTTGATTACTAAGCCTTTAGTAAGTTTCTAAGAACCTTGGACTTGGAAGCTTTCCCAAATTAAAAATATCCTGGGGGGGTGGGGGGGAGTATGGAGATACTCATTATCATTGTAGCACTTGTCTCAATTTAAAATTGTATATTAACTGTTCGCCCTGTGTTCCCCTCAGACTGCAAACTTCACAAGAGCTGGAATCTCGTTTTGCTTTCCTCCTGCGGTCCCCTGCCAAGTGCCTGGAATGTGCTACCAGTTCAGGTGAAAGGGATAAATAGATTAATAAATGATCCATCCTGTAATCTCAAAAGGGCAAAGTTCCTTGACTTTTTATGTCCGTTACTCTATGTATGCCCTCATCAGAACACTGCACAAAGACCAAAACCAAATAAATAGGATTGTCTCTAGTGTTCTGGATTCTACCATGGTTACAAAACTATTTTTATGAAGCCTTCCTATACAGCCAATATTTGTCCTGAAGTATCACAACAAAATTTTTCTTAGAATATGCACTGTTTTATATAGTAGGCACTAGCCATGTGCAGCTATTTCAATTAATTAGAACAAAATAAATTAAAAATTCTGTTTCTCAATCACACTAGCCACATAACAAGTATGAAATAGTCCTACATGGACATTTCTGTCATCACATGAAGTTTTACTGGAAAGCACTGTATTAGATGATTTATATAAATTTAGCTTTCTCAAAATACTGACAAGAGAAATAAAGAAACAGAAGTGAAATGAAATCATTACCTACCACCAATTTAGCCACCTAAAATTTATAAGGTCTTTTAGGATGTTGGAGACAGAATCAGGTAATGCAAAAGAGTCCAGTGGTTTCAGTTTTACTTTAGAAAAAGCTTGAGTTATGGCAAACTAAGCTTTACTTGGTACCAACCACTTCCAGAGGGATACAAAAATTAATTTAAAAAAATTAAATTTAAAATTTAAAAAGGAGGTGGGGGGCAGACAGACACATGTCCATTTCAAAAGCCAGTTAGGTTTTTCAGCAAGAGTCATGAGTAAATAGCCTGTAGAAAGTCTATAGCATGTAATGTGGGCCAGGTTATGAAGAAAAATCCTCCTGCTGAAAAAAGTGTTTGATGGAATGTGTTTTAAGTATCGTCTACGAGCTGGAAAAGGAAATAGGGATTGCCAGACCACATTCTAAGGGGAAGTAGGCCTCTGGGAAGTGAGCATAGCAAGGAAGCCACTCTTGCCCTGAAAGTTTTCACTGATTGGAAAATATTGAAATTCTGTTTTGACAGATTTTTCAGACAAGAAGACAAATATAAAATCTTTGGGCCTACTAAACTTGAGAGTCAGAGGCCTCAAATTTGAAAGGTGGGACCCCAAAGAACAGTACCATCGTCATAAGAATAATATGAAGTAACACCACTCTGCACCCATAGCAGGGAATGAGCAGAGCAGAGGAAAATAAAAACATTGAAAAAAAAAGAAAGAAAGTACTTGTGGAAACGTAGCCACAAGTTGGCCCTCAGGCAAATTTGCTTTCCAAATTTACACCCCACCAATACAAAAACTTCCTGTCTTTAATTTTGTTTAACATGGTCTCAGAATGATAGAGTGTAAAATGCCTGTAAAGTGAACCCTTCTAAATGTTGTGTCCAGTCGTATACAAATATCTAGCTCACATTTAATATATCTGCACGTTTCTTTAGTAACATTCTCCTTAACCAAGACTATAGCTTTTATTTATTTGCCATAGACATAAAACTGCCCTTTTATGTTTTCATCAATTTACAAATTTTGTGTTACATTATGTAATTACTAGGACACGACTGGCAGCGATCACAACAGACTCTTAGTGGACACACACCTAATTGCTGGGCTGGACCTGCACGAGGCAGTGGGCCCCAGGAATGAACTAGGCTCTACCAGGAAAAAGAGGCGGTCGTGTGACGTGACAGAGGCACACAGGATGGACTTGCCCAAGGTTTGCTAGTTGGATCAAAATAGATATCAGATCTTTTGAGTCTTAATCCAGTGCTTAAAAAAAAAGCAGATCTAAGGACCTTGTTTTAAATCTTTTAGATCATGTGAAAGATTTTTTTCTACTGTATTAGTTTAACAGACTCTGAAATGGTAATGGATAATTCTTGCGATATTAATAGATAAAGCTTTTATACATTTCCTTGATAATATGCCCAGAATATTAATATAAGTTATTATTTTGTAACTCACTATACTGAGGTCACTCACTATTCAGTAATAGTTCACAAATGTGAGGCAATTTTATAATAGGGATGCTTATCTTCTTGGATATAAATTCATAAAATGTTTTCTGCAATAACTGACCTCATTTTAATTTTTTAATCAGTGATAAACTGCATACCACATTCAAACAGACTGAATAAAAGAGGGTGGGGGAATGACAGAGGGGCTTATAAATTAATCTAGTCACAAGCAGGCAAACTAACTTGAATTCTCAGGGTTGCATTGCTGCAGTCTGTGATTATCCATAAGATCAATGCTGTTAACAGAAAAAAAGAAAAGAAAAAACATGGCCAAAGAGGGGACTGGATGGGGAATAGAAAGGTTGAACCTCCACAGCTCTGAAATAATGCAATAAGGGCATTCACCTTTTAGGGGTGGCCTTGGTGTACCCCTTTCAGGGTGCTTTTTGTGTCTGTAAGAAAGCAGTGATGACTAAAGTCAATAAATTGAATGTATATAAAGTCAGTGGTCCCTGTAAGGCTTGGTCTGT